CAGGGTTATCCTGACTCATCTCTATGGAAACAGATTGTCAGTTCTTTCTCCCATAGAGCCTCTGGGTGGGTTTGAACCACCAACCTTTCAGATAACAGCTGTGCACTTAACCTTTGCACTGAAGGACGACTAGTTCTTCTAAAGCACACTGGAGGCTGTGTTGCCTTTGCTCATGCTCATTTCCTAAGCCAGCCACTGGCCTCCTTAGCCTGGCTTGGTCCCAGTTGTCCTCAAAGATGCAGCAGAAATGATACTGCCCATGTGGCCCTGCCAGAGCCCTGTCTGTGTTTGCGTTCCTAGTGCCTGGCCCATGATAGAGGCTTGGAAGAGATTTGAGGAAGTGAATGGAATAGTGTGTAAATATAAGTCTTCAGTTGTTACTAAGTGCCTTCAAGTCTGTTTTGGCTCATAGAGATCTATATAGGGTTTCCAATGAACAGCTGGTGGGTTTGAACCACCGACCTTGCAGTTAGCAATCCAGTGCTTGTTCTACACTAATAATTTAGTTTTATATAAAGCCAAATTGGCAGCTATATCAGTTTCCTATTTCTGCTATAACAAATCCCCGAGACGTACTGGCTAAAAACAGCACAAGTCCTTTACCGTATAGTTCTGGAGATCAGGAGTCAAAATGGGTCTCATGGACCAGTATCAAGGTGTAGACGGGGCTGGTTTCTTGTAGAAGCTGTCTGCATACAGTACCCTGTGACATCTTTCTCCATGTTCAGAGCCAGCAATTTAGTCTCCAAATCTCTTCCTTCTCTGATCTGTGCTCTCGTACTGCGCCTGTTCTTGGATCTGCCTAGATAATCAGGGGTATCTGGGTGGAGCAAATGGCTAAGCACTGCACTACTAGCTGAATGTATAGCAATTCAGACCCACCCTCAGAAGACAGGCCTGACAGGCTGCCTCTGAAAGGTCACAGCCTTGAAAAGCCTATGGAGCACCATTCTGTTCTCCTCAGTACACATGGGGTCACCTTGGGTCACAGTAGACTTGATGTGATAACTGGCAACAGCCTGGGTCACTTGCCCTTCTCAAAATCTCTAATTACTTCTGCCAAGTCCCCTTTGTTATGTAAGGCACACGTGATTCACAGATTGAGGATTCGAATATGGCCATCTTTGTCATCATTGTTGTTAAGTGCTGTTGAGTCAGTGCCCACTTATAGTGAGCGATCCTGTATGTGGTTTCCAAGGAGCAGCTGGTGGGTTTGAACTGCCAACCTTGTGGTTCACAGTTCAATGCTGATCCTACAGCACCACACCAGGGTCCTCTGAACATCTTTGTTGTTGTTAAGTGCTGTCAAGTCAGTTCCGACCCATAGCAACCCTGTATAGGGTTTCCAAGGAGTGGCTCGTGAGCTTGAACTGCCGACCTTGTGGTTCAAATCAACCTTGCAGTCCACAGCACCACACCAGGACATCTTTCGGGGGAGGGGGAGCGGGGGGGCATTGTTCTGTCTACCACAGAAGGTGTTTTCAAAGGTCACGTGCTGAAAAGTCAAGCTTTTGGAGGAACAAGTTAAGAGATACAACAAGATTAGATCAGCCATGGATTTCATTAAGCACAGAGGGAGGTGTTCAGCTTGTCCTTGCTCTTGGTCGGAAAGAGCAGCCTCGTTACCTCTTACTAGTCCCCACATTTGGGGCTCTCGGCTATTTAGGGTGACTCTGCATAGTTGATCAGCTGAAGGCATGCACATCCCTTGGCCTCCACAGTGAGCAGGAGACCTGGGAAGTCCATGAATGAGTCCCCCCAGACAACTAGTCACATGGACTCACCTCCCTGATCAATGAGCCTGCTACCTGGGAGGAAAAGGAGACAGGAAGGCTGTGAAAATAATGGTCAGAATCCCCCAAACAAAGCTCGAGGCTACTGAGTGTCTCCTGTGGGAAGATGTGAGTTCCAGATGGCTGCCTGTGAGGCATTAATCACCTTGTCTTGAGCCAGAAGAAAATGAAGATTAATAATAATAATTTCTTTAAGAAATTGCTCCTAAGAGGTTACATATGAAGAACAGAGGACCCAGAGCTGAAATTGGATAGGAACGATTCATTACTTATTGACCAGGACTTGGTTTATCCTCCTTGTTGGTAACCTTGCAATTGTTACACATGTCGGTTTGCCAACAGTCATGCGATGATGATGAATCTTGGAAGCTTACACCACAGAATGTCAGCCAAAAGGGGGCCTTGGAAATCATATTTTTCAACTCTACCCTCAAGGTTGACAGCTAACTGAAGCCGGGGATGAAACTAGAGTTTGGGCTGTTTGAATCTTGATTCAGTGCCCGGTGCCATCTCATAGCAAGGACAGACTATGCTGAGACCTGTGGCCCAAAACCAGAACCCACTACTGTTGATTCCTACTCATAGGACCCTAGAGAACAGAGTAGAACTGCCCCCATAGAGTTTCCAAGGCTGGACGGTTTCACAGAAGCAGACTGCCACATCTTTGTCCCGTGGAGCAGCTCCTGGGTTCAAACCACCAACCTTTTGGTTTGCAGCCAAGTTATTTAATCCCCAAGCCACCAGGACTCTATGAGACCTTTTAGTGTTGTTAAGTGCCATTGAATCTGTTTGGACTCATAACAACCCTGTACAGGGTTTCCGAGGAGCGTCTGGTAAATTTGGGCCACCAACCTGTGGTTCAGCTGGCCTCCAGGTCCAGTGCTTACAGCAGCACACCAGGACTCCTTGAGACACATGATGGTGGTGGTGGTGTGCCGTGGAGTTGGTTCCGACTCATAGTGACCCTGCATAGGGTTTCCAATCCTGTAAATCTTTACGGGAGCAGAAAGCCTCATCTTTCTCCTACGGAACAACTAGTAGTTTCGAACTTCTGACCCTGAGGTTAGCAACCCGACTGGTAACCACTACCCTACCAGAGCTCTTTTTGAGACATGTGTTGTTGTTGTTAAGTACCGTGGAGTCAGTTCCGACTCATAGTGACCCTGCACAGGGTTTCCAAGGCTGTAAATCTTTACAAGATCAGAACGCCTCATCTTTCTCCTGCGGAGCCGCTGGTAGTTTCGAACTGCCAAAGAGGAACAGAAAAAGACAGTGTGTAGTGAGCTCTTGTCACTCTGGTGTAGAATTGAAATACCATAGCAGTTAGACACAGGCAAGACCCTATGGGCAGAGTGACCTGGACAGCAGTCCACATGGAGTAAACGGATGTGCTCTGGGCAGTGGAGTGGGGGCCTTTGATAGTCACCAAGTGAGGGAAGATACTATAATGAATGGGCCTCCCAGCCCAGCTTTCTGAAGAAGAGGGACTAGCTCCTCAGGAGGAGAGACGATGCTGGAGGGATTAGAGGAGGAAATGATGGGGGAAGTCCAGCAAGGTTATGTAGGCCTTACTTGGGTGAATCACAGAGACCCCCTGAAGAGATTCGGCCTCAGACAAATCACAGGTCAACATGGAAGTTTGGAGGAAAAAAGTTGTAGATGGTGAGGCATTGTGTGCATTATTTCATGATCCATCCAGGAGACAGAAACCAGGACTTGCTGGGAGCATTGGCTACAAAAGTGAGCCTTCTCTTCATTTATTTTTCTAAGTAATCTCTTCTCGTGATCGTGGTTGAAATTTCCTCAGAGGAAACAACATGGAGCAAGACTCTACTGCACTTAAATCTCAAGGGCCCACTCTTAACCTCACACCCCTCCGCCCATCATTACAGAACCCATCCACACAGCTTGGCCAACAACTGAGTCCCAAACAATGGCGATGGGGAGAAGATAGCCTGAGCAAAGGTAAAAGTCTGCCTAGAACACCCAAGCGGCGGTGAGACGAGTGAAATAGGTCAGACATGGAGATTGGGTACAGGGGGTGAAGGTTGAGTTCAGAAGGCCTGATTGTGCTAACAAGGAACATTCCAGCTAGGGTAGAAGTTAGACAGGTGGAGTTGGGGCAGGTCAAGATGGTACCTAACCTGGAGACCGGGGCATGGCAAGGTGATGGGGCACAAGCTTTGCTGGAAGCCTACCCTATCTCTCTCACCGAGTCTCCCTCTCCAGAGCCCCACACTTTCTGACTAACTGTCTGCAGTGGGCAGATCCCATCCCTCTCTAGGAAAACCAGGGGTATCTTGAAGAAAGTATCTGTCATTGCCTTGGAAGGGCTGTCTGTTCTTATGCTCATGGAAATAAGTCAAGATAACCTCATCTCCAGTTCTCCTTGCGTCTCCCTGCTTAGCGTATGCAAAGAAATCTCTGTGTATCTGGGCATTTATTTCCCATAACAGCAATGTATCAACTCCAGTCACAGCAGTGAGAAGCGTGGTTGAATCGCCTGGCTTTTCTGAAGCAAAATAACATCACCATCAAGATCCTTTCTGTCAGTAAAAGGCGTGCTGAGATCCTGCACCATCCGTGCACTCACTGTGGTGCCCGAGTTAACAGTGTGGTGCGAGGCTGCCACTGCCGTCACCCTCTACTCTCTCTGAGGGCTGCGTAGGAGGGTGCTGGACAGAATCTGAAGGCTGTGATAGTACTTGAGGCGGGGCGGGAAATCTCCACAGCTGTGGTCTGTTCCATTCTCTGTGCACGTGCTCACCCATCAGGACCCATTGTTTTGCTGCTGCTGCTGCTGCTCCCTTGTGTGTTTGTCTTCCCTTCACTCATGAAAATTCATGTTCATCTAAAGCCTGCTTTCTGTTTCCTAATCACAATATTTATAACATAATACTTGTGATTACACTAGATAGAAGGTTTTTGCATAATTTTGTTTTCAGGGAGAATTGTTTGATGTTCCAATAGTTTAGATTTAACAGAACGTTGTAGTCCTTTTTATCAGGAATTCATTCCTGACAGGAGCCATAGACCCCCAGTCCCCTGTGTTAGGTCACCGTTGAAATGTGATTTGATGTTTTTAACCCATGTGTACGCTGTGCACCACTGACATGCCGGCTGCCAGCTCCTTTCACTTTCCCAGCTAGGCTGTGCCACCGGCAAAGGTTACCTTCTCTAATATACTGACGCGTTTTCTTTGTACAGGGATTTTGCTTACGTAGCACGAGACAAAGATACAAGAATTTTGAAATGTCATGTATTTCGATGTGACACGCCAGCAAAAGCCATCGCCACAAGTCTCCACGAAATCTGTTCCAAGGTGAGGTGGGTCAGAGGACAGAGGCCCGCCTCTGTCATTTCTCTCCCGGCTTGAGCAGGTGAAGGGATGTGAAGGAGCAGGAGGGTGGACGGGTACACCCACCTGGCTGACAAGATCGGGGAGAGATAGACAGGCCATTGGCTCAGCTAAGTGTCATTACTGCTGTGTGTCAGGCAGGCGTTGCTCTAAGCGGCAGCCCGTCTACAGAATGTCCCTGCCACACGCTGTGTCTATAAGACATTGGCAGGTACAAGGGCCCAGATGTGTACTCGGAGCCCAGCTAGAAAACAGGGGAAGGACATCAGGATCAGCTTCCCCAGGGTTGGCCACCTGAGCTGAGAGTGAAAGCAGCTCAGACAGAAACAAAGGGAGGGTGGTCAGGTAATAAGACAGTGTGTCCCCATGAACACCTGCTGCACTTCACATCAGCTTAGGGACACTCTGACCAGCTGTGATGTGGGGCTCGACTCACAGAGCCTCAGTGAGAGCAGATGGCCAGGTGTCACCTGCCCACCTGCCCTCTGTCCCTCCAACACAACATTCCCTATTCAGGTACCACCATTCTCTGATGACAGCTCTGTTGTCAGACACTCTTCTGTTACTGTCAGTCCTAGTTATGCGATGGATTAAGCATTGGGCTGCCAACTGTGAGGTTGGTGGTTCGAACCCACCAGCCACTCTGTAGGAGAAAGATGAGGTTGTGTGCTGCTGTAAAGGTTTATAGCCTTGGGAGACCCTCAGGAGTAGTTGTGCTCTGTTCTCTAGGGTCGCGATGATCAACCTGAGGACAGTGGGTTTGTGTTCTGTTATCAGGCAGCTCCGGCTGTTCGAATGCTGCCTCCTCAGCATCTCCAGGTATTTCTCTGTGACTTGCCACCTGCTGTAGCAGCAGAGGCAGCTCCCTACCGTTCGCTGTACCTGGTGCCTTAGAGGCACTCGGCGGTAATACCTGATACTGAGTCTTCCTGCGCCCATGTCCACCCATCTCCAGTCTCTGCAGTTGTGTTATACTCCACGTGGTTCTCAGCCTCCTGTCTTTCATTCATTCTGTGAACACGCCGTGATAGGCTCCCCCGAAGGATACAGTATTCAGAAAGTGAGCCGGCCAAAAGTAGACTGTGGCTGCTCTCTGCTGTGACCTCCAACAATACAGTGTTGGGATTTGGGATGTTTTCAGCACCTTATTACCTGCTGGTGTGTGTTCAACCATCCAAGACATTGTCATACCCACTTCCTTTAGCCAGGCCTTTCCTCTTCTAACACTTGTTTAATTTACCAAATACAAACACAGGACTTGGCTATCCATTACTTGTTGAGCATCACTTTTCTAGTTTAAGGCTGACATCATGGCCTCGGCCTCATTCCCAGAAACCCTTGTGAGCTAGGAGGCCCAGGCCATGGCCCAGCCTGAAATCTGAGCAGCAGGTAGAAGCCACCGAGCCCACAGGAGGGGCAGAGAGCGGTTCCCAGACCCTAAACTGAGCCTTTGCTGTGACCTGCATCCCAGGGGCGTGCAGGGTGGGTGGTGGCCTCCAGCCCGGGTTTGTGTGCTTGTGCTGAAAGGATTGGTCGTGGCTGCGCCTCTTGCTCCCGTTTGCAGCACGGAGTGAGTTCCCAAGGTTTCATTTTTTTATTCCCTCACACGACAAGCATAATCGAGTGCCATTTATGTGCCAGGCACTGTTCTAGACAATGGACATACAACAGAAAAGATGTCCTCCCCTGAGAAAACCAAAGCGGTTGCCGTGAAGTGACTTCCGACTCACAGGAACCCCGTGTGTTAGGGGATGCCCCATAGGGTTCTCCTGGCTGTAATGATTGCAGAAGCACATCGCCAGGCTTTTCTTCTGTGACTCCACTGGGTGGGTTTGAACCTCCAGCCCTTCTCAGTGAGCAGCCAAGCACAATCATTAGTGCCACCCAGGGACCTTGGCACAGAGTACATACTAGGTTTCATTATTGTCAGCAACCCTTCTGCCCACCGTTCTAAGTACCGATCAGGAGGTGGACGGAGTGGACCTGTGAGGAGGGGAGGACATAACTTGTCCGTCTGGAATGGAAAGCTTAGCCTGCGATGGAAACCTGAGTTAGCTTTGGCCGTCACTGATGGGTGGGCTTCTTTGGTCCCTAAGCCCACTGTGTTGTGTAACGGCTCAGGAAATAGGAGTGGAAAGTGATGACCCTGAAGTAAAGGAGGTCAGAGTCGCTAGTGGAAGAGAGACCATTTGGATTTAAACCCTCTGAGAGTAACAACAACACTGATGGTATTAGCGATAGTTGCCGTTGGGTTGGCTCTGACTCATAACCACCTCACGTGTGACAGAACCAAACCTTGCCCACCTGTGTGACGTCTTCAGGACCCATGTCCAGCAGTCTGTCACTCTTGAGGGTGCAGCCAAAGTAAGCAACTAGAAGTTGTGGACTGTATTCTGGCCTCAATAGGCTTTCCGTAGCTACTTCCCAGGAGCAGACCAGCAGGCCTCCTTCCTGGTCTGTCTGAGTCCAGAAGCTCCATGAGATCCTGTGGGTATTAGAAATACCAATTTCATAACTTGCAGCACCGTAACAGCAGTAACAGTGGCAGCTAGTATTTCTGATTCCACCCAGGCCTTGGAATGTATTCACTCCTGTAATCCTCAGAGCAGCCCTGTGACATAATACTGTTACCATCTTCCTGTGCAGGTGAAGAAAGGAGAGACAGATGACAGAAGAGGCTTCAAAAAAGCTCATGAAAAAAAGTTCATTATCTTTTCATTCCATTTCTCTGTGAACTTTAACAAACAATAGACTGAATAATAAATTATAAGTAATAAACTGAAACAAGCAATACACTAAAGCCTATTTAAATTGGATGTGAAATCAGCTCAGACACTGGTACTGGAATAGCTGAAGACATGGAGCCTATAAACCATGAACCAAAGCTGTGTGTTCTCCTTGCCTCTAGATTATGGCCGAACGGAAGAATGCCAAAGCCTTGGCCTGCAGTTCCTTACAGGAAAGGACCAATGTGAATCTTGACGTTCCTTTGCAAGGTAGGGTGGCGGGTGCTTCTCTCTTGCTTGTGGTACTGTTAGTCCTGGTCCAGAACTGAAGGGTCTCCATAACCATGTTGTGTTTGGCACAACTATGTTTGTTGGGCATCCACTCTGGGGCCTGCAGCAGCAGAGGACTTTGCATCAGTTGGATGAGGCGCGAAATGCTTGCTGTAGCTGGAGAGGATGACAGTACTATCGGCAAGCCTTAGCCCTCCTGTGCAGCATGCTTTCGTGGGCTTGCTTTAGCTCTTTTCCCCATTTCTCTGATTGTGCTCTCTGTGATTAGATTTCCTCCCGGCATCAGCCACACCTAACAAACAGAACATCCAAAGCTGTTAACTGAGCACACCTCAGAGAGACAGTAACCAGCTTTCACCCCTAGAACCTGGTGTCTGCCTTCAAGGGCTTCCCTCCCTAGAAATAAAAGTTATATGAGGATGTGACTGGTGACCACCCCAGTGCCTGAGATAAGAGATGCTTATACAATAGTTGCCACGTTGATCTCCAGACCCACGGGGCATTATGACCAGGTGGTGTCTTGGGCATCTCAGGTGGCAGAGTGATGGCCAGGGAGCCAGTGAGATGATGTGTTGCTTTTGTTCCCTGTAGTAGATTTTCCAACACCAAAGACGGAGCTGGTCCAGAAGTTCCACGTGCAGTACTTGGGCATGTTACCTGTAGATAAACCAGTCGGTATGTACAGCACTTACTGTTCTTCCAACCTTGCAGGTTTGTGGGAGGGAGTCATGGGAAGCGTTTACCCACCAAGAGGGTGGAGTCTCCCATTTTACTCCCGTGCTTCATCTCAAATCGGGTTCTTGAACTGTCGTAGCAAGAACACATCAACAATTCTGCTCAAAGGCACAATAGAGGGCACACTAAGCTGCTTGTCATGTGATCCCAGAATACCAACAACAACCACAAAATGTGCTGCCAAGTCGGTTCCAACTCTTGGTACCCCGTGTGTGTCAGAGTAGAAGTGCACTCCAGACAGCTTTCAGGGACTGATTTTTCAGAAGTCTATCGCCTGGTCAGTAGCCAAGCACTGAGCTGTTTGCACCACTAAGGATGTGGGGACGTAAACAAGCTAGACTAGGGCCTCTCATGCAGAGATGTGTAATCTGAGTTGTACAAGGGCTCTGCCAGTCTCAACTTGGGACTTCATCTCTGGGACCAGGCCACTGACTTCAGTTCTGGTTAGCTGGTGGGCCAGGAGAAAGGCTGAAGGCGCTCTCCTGCTTTCCTTGTAAGGATATAACCCAGAAGGGAACACACAATGTCAGCTCACATCCCAGTGACAGGTCTCCGGTGGTTGGCCATCCCAAGCTGAAAGGGAAGCTGGGAAATGAAGCCTGTGACAGCCCAGTCAAAAGGCCCCACTGAACAACACATGAATTCATGTAAAAGTGTCACCCAGATTTGGTTTTATTTAAATACTGCCGTAAGAAACAAAAGATCTGGGTTTCCTGGCAGATGCTGGCTTCTGTTGGGTCTTCTGCTCCAGGGTTCTCCCTGTGCTGAAAAGGGTAGCATTTGCTTCAGTATTTGTACCAGCACTTGGAGGTGGGACAGGCTATGTTTATATGCCAGTGGGAATTTGGAGAGAAGTGGGTCTGGTGGTCTGATTAGAGGGGTAGCACACCCACTGTGCATCTCTGGAGGCATTTGTGACACTTCTGTTTGCCATGTCTGTCTTTTTGAACACACATGGGTGTGGAAGCTCCCAGTTCATAGCAGAAAAGCCTGTGAAAGGGGCAGCTTTATCTACAGTAAGGGCTTGTCTTCCGGGTCTAGAAAGCAAGTCTCGGCGTGGCTGCAACCTGGTGATTTGGGCCCACGTTTGATGGTGATAAGTAACTCTAGGACGTCCTTCAATTGTCTTTTCCTTCCACAGGAATGGATACCCTGAACAGTGCCATAGAAAGTCTTATAACCTCATCCAACAAGGAGGATTGGCCATCGGTGAACATGAATGTAGCCGATGCTACCGTCACTGTCATCAGTGAAAAAGTAAGATGGCATTGTTGATGCCACTGGCCCCTCTGGGACACAGTGAGGTTTTATAACCATCATCTTCCGTGAACTTAGAAACCTAGCCAAGCCGTACCCTCTAGGGAATAAAAAGGACTCCATTTAAAAAAAAAAAAAAACAGATTGTTGAACCCTTCGTACACGTCTGGGTGTGTGCACTCCTTGGCTTTGCTGTAGACACAGAGGCATCTGCTTGGATTCCCCTGAGTCTTCCTAATGATTGTTGAGACTGAAATCATGTGCTAGAGGGGCTATAAACCACAAGCTCACTGAGGGGGTTTGGTTATCTGACCAGTAAGTCTTAAAGTGCTGAAGCTGACGGCGTGATGCTGCCTGTGGTTTGGTTCCTTTTACGGAAGGTTCTGTGGTTGGTCCTGTCAGTAGTCACAGAGGCCACTGCTCAACCCAAATTATCCCAGTTTTGTGCTGGAGGAAACGGAGGCACAGAGAGGTTAAGTAAGTTGTTCAAGATCACACAGTTAGAAAGTAGTGGGGCCAGGATTCAAATGCAGGCAGTGTGGCACTTACCTCTTCTGCGCCCTTGAACTCATCAACGCAAGGTCTTAACGTGCTCTTCACCTTGAAGCCCAAGTAACCTTTTAAAGAGGAGGAGGATACTCGCTGATTCTACCTATCCCTCAGACAGGCTGGATTATTTTCGGTTCTTCCAACAGGCCCTGCCCTTTCCTGCCTCAGCTGGGTCTTGGCCCTTGTTCTTCCTTCTACAACCCTCCCCTGGGCTACACCACCCTCACACTAGAGCTCAACTGGAGCATCAGTTCCTCCTGGAAACCTTCCTGACGCCTCACATTCCCATAGCATTAGCCACCATGGAGTGGTCTTCCTAGTTTCATTAAGCTCCCTCCGGGCAGGCTCCTGGTGGTACACAGCCTGGCTTAGAGTACGCGCTCAAAGACATTTGAGTGAACAGTGACTGAGCTAAGATGTTAATGTTTCGATGCAGAAGTCGACAATCTGGGTATGCTTACTGATTCAGAGGTTGCATTCCGTCTTTACGTAGCATGTGATGTGATGTTCATAACTGTGAGGTTGGATCCCAGGCATTCCTTGAGACTGCCTCATATGAGACGGATGAAAAAGAAAACAAAATGTGATTTGGCAACTTTTTGTTTTATGTAATCTGTGATGGGAAGGTGGTTCCATGTACTGTTTAGCTTTGGGTTAAGAACTGGATGGAAAACGACACTGGGCCCTCTTCTTTTGATCTGGGTTTTCTGGGGGGCTCATCGGGGCACATGGGTTGTGAGCCATGGGTGTCCGCCTGAGAGGACAGTATGTAGGAAGTTCAGGTGGCGTCCTTCCTATCCTCAGAGACCTCGCAAGTGGAGAGAGAACCCAGTCCACGTTGCACTCTGGGATAGCAGTGGAGTTCAGAGCAAGTTGAAGTGCCAACTTGAGATTCTAGAAACACAAGTCCTTTCTGAACTCAGTCTGGCTATATGATTCTACCAGCAGTTCCTCTGTGATGCCATTCTGGACTTGATTCCAGGAGCTGCTGAGCTCTGACGAAGTCTGTGACTGGTGTGGGGGCCACCGGCCAGGCACAATGCTGAACCGTCTCTCTTACAGAATGAAGAGGAAGTCCTAGTGGAGTGTCGCGTGCGATTCCTGTCCTTCATGGGCGTCGGGAAGGACATCCACACATTTGCCTTCATCATGGACACTGGGAGCCAGCGTTTCGAGTGCCACGTGTTCTGGTGTGAGCCGAACGCGGCCAACGTGTCCGAGGCGGTGCAGGCTGCTTGCATGGTGAGTCATTGGGCACAGCAAGGCCACATAGGATGACCTGTGTGGCGGGGGAATCAAATTTCTAAAGACAGGCTTTACTTTTTTTAACCCCTTCATTCGTCCTCTCTAAAGGCCAGGCTACCTGGGCTGACTGAAGCGAGGTTCTGTAGACTCCAGTAGCGTGGAAAGATGTCTTGAAAGAAACATTTGCTAAGTGCTCACATTGCTTAGATGATGAGGGTACCCAGGTGAATCATTTTCTTGGCAGGGATTGGGGGGAGGGTCTTGGGTAGCGAGTACTGCTGTAACAAATACCACAAGTGAGGGACTTTAAAGAACAGAATTTTTTTTTTTTAATCTTTTGAATTTTGAAAAATCCCTTTTACTGTACCCTCTCAACTAAAGTGTGGATTAATGCGCCAGACTGCAAAGCCATTTGAACTGTAAGGTCAGTGGTTCAAGCTCACCAGCTGTTCCTCGGAAACCCTATACAGGGTCGCTATGGGTTGGAATTGACTCGACGGCACTTCACAACAACAACTCAACTAAAGCAAGACAGCAAGCAGGTTTCTTTCTCTGTTAGCCAGAACAATTCTTGAAGCTAAAACATCCAAATCAGGGTTTGGCTGTGTTGATTCCTTCCTTGTCGGTAGCCCTGGGAGATCTCACGTGGGTCTCGGTCCCCAAGTTTGTGGGTCAGCCTGTGTCTAATGTGCTCTTCTTATAGTCACCCAGAAGTAAGGAGATGAAAGTCACACCCTACACAGATAAATGACCTCATTGATAGAACAGAGAAACCCCTATTTCCAAATAGAACTGCGTCCAGATTTAGGATTAAAATACATATTTAGGGGCTGTTGTTAAGTACCATCAAGTCGGTGCCAACTCATAGCCACCCTGTATAGGGTTTCCGAAGAGGAGTTGGTGAGTTCGAACTCAAACCAACCTAGCGGTCCAGTGTTTATTCTACAAGGCCACACCAGGGCTCCCATATTTGCAGGGTAGGGCTGGGGGTGGGTGGTGTTACAATGTGCTTCAATACCAAAAATTTGAGAATTATCAATTTTTAACCTCTTAATTCCTTTCATTTGTAATCGGGAAAATGTTGGTCGTGCCTGAGTTGTACTTTAAATAAAAAAGCAATGTATTGAATAATTCAGGGAAAAGATGAAATGGTGTGCTCATATGCCTTTTTCAAAAGCCACAGAATGAGTCCATGAAATACACTTACAGCCCAGATTTCATGCCAGTACCTTTGGGTTCATTCTTTGCATCCTGTTATATAGCACAGCTTTCCTGTTCTGCGCAAACATTTATCAGAGAGGATTTGTTGTTATTAATGTGCCATTCAGGTGATTCCGACTCATAGCGACCCTGTATAGGGTTTCTAAGGCTTTAAATCTTCACAGGATTAGAAAGCCTCAACTTTTCTCCCTCAGAGCAGCTGGTGGGCTCGAATTACAGACCCTGTGATTTATTGTATGGAGATTAAAATTAAGTAGGAGTAAAATTAAAATGTTTAAATGTTTAATTTCTTATTGTTTCCAATTAAAAAAGCAAACAAACAACAACATTAGTGAGGTTGTATATGCACCATAGATGGTCAACCATTCGGGATTACAAGGGCAGCATTTACCAAGGTTAAAGTTCACAAGGACTGGGAACAAAGAGGGAATGGAAGCAAGACCCACAGAGGGGAAGTGGAACATGTGATGTTACATGGAGGGGACTGCAAGCACTGAGCTGAAACAAAGTCTGTGATTGGTTGAATGCAAAATTGATGATCTGCTCTGCAAACCTACAGTCAATTCACAGTAAAAAGTTAAAAAGATGATGGAATCGGTTCCGACTCATAGTGACCCTCTATGTTGTTTCCGAGGCTGGAGATCTTTATGGGCGCAAAGAGCCTCATCTTTGTACCGCGCCTGGTAGTTTCCAACTGCTGACCTTTCAGTTAGCAGCCCAGCTTGTAATCACTGTGTAACCACAGCTCCTGAAAAATATTATAGTGCAAGAAAAAGAGCAAAATAATAATAATACAGTACTGGGTTTTTTGCTAATAAGCAATGAAATAGCTTAGGGTTGAGCTGAGAGAACAAGACACCCAAGAGGCTGAATGGGCCGCTGAATTATAGAATTGAACTGAATTACTATGCCTTAGTCCTGAATCCAATTGTTTACTTTAGTTCTTTCTGTTCGTTGTCATCTCTAATTCTCTTTACGTTTTCTCTTGAACCTCCTCCAAGCTAGCTTTTGTTGCCCACCGCTCCACTGAATGGTCTCTGTTCAGGGCTATCAGTGCACATTTTTTTAGGCTGAGGGAAAGCAGCCAGTAAAGCAAGTTTGGAATGGGGGCCACAGACACCACTGAAGCATACAGCAAATGGCGAGCCTAGGGGAGGGGCTTGGCTTCCAGCTGGGTTAGAGTGGCAGGCCAGCAAGTGCTGAGAATCCAGGAATAGAAGGAAGCTTGTAGAAGTTGAGGGACATCTCAGCTGTTTGCATATGAGGTGAAGAAGAGGGCAAAGGTTGCAATAGTAAGGCACATGGCAAAGGTGGGAAAGTAGAAAAGAGAACCAGTTAGTACACACCTTTGAAAGAGGGAGGGAGGAAGAAAGGACGGAACATTTATTGACTGCTTGGTGTATTGTGCACTCATTATCTTGTTCCGTTCTAACCAGTCTTTTGTGAAGTATAACTTCCCCTCAGTGAGTATACCATGAAGCCGGGATTCCAACTCAAATGTGCATGAATCTAAAGGAGCAATGGAGGGGGCGGGGACAAGAGAGGAAGCAGAGTCCAGATAACTTTAACAGACATAATCAAGGACTACATGAGGAAAGTAGAAGATGGGAGATTTCAATCAAGCAGAAATGGAGAAAGACGATTTAGGTAGTTTATGAAATTGAAATGGATGCTCACAGATGGCTTTAGTCATAAAATGAGTGGTTTTCAGCCTTAATTATTCCTTTTAAGTGCTGATGACAATTAAATAATTAGCTTTATCACTGGTTGCTGTGTGTTTTCTGGTATCAGACTCATTTTCTCTCTTAGAAACAGTTTTTATTCATTTGCTTCTTGTGTTCCTTGTATCAGCACAGCCCGAGGCAGCAGCTGGGCCAGAGCTCAGAACATCAGATCCTTTTCTGCACTGTGAACCCAGCATTGCTAACTCGGTGGCTTTCCTCTTGATTCAAACCTACCAACTGAATTCTTGACGGCATGAACACATTCTTCTGAGTCACCTTCATTTTTAGGTGTATCTTTTAACTGTGTTACTAAGTGCTATTGAGTCACTTCTGACTGATAGCGACCCTGTATGGGGCTTCTAGGGAGTGGCTGGTGGATTTGAACTGCCAACCTTGTGATCACTGTCCACTGTTTATCCTACAGCACCATACCAGGACCCTAAACTCTGTGGTTTAGGCCCAGCTGTGTGGTACTGTAGGATAAGCACTGGACCAAAGATCGGTCAGAACCAAAATGTTAGCGATTCAGACTTACCAGCCGCATCTCGGAAACCCGGTATAGGGTCACTATGATTCGGAACTGAATCAATGGCACTTACCAGCAACAACGAGAGATATGCTGGTGAAACTTGACTAGGCCAGAGAAGGGGGACCCTTCATGATATCCATCTGTCTGGTAGATTTGGGGTCGCACTGGGCAGATATAATACGTGCAAATCCAAGTCCAGTGTCCTGCCTGCTTTCGAGTCCACACTTCAGTTGTTAGTTGTGTGTTCTTGGGTCTGGTGCAGGCCAAGGAAGATCTTACAAACAGAAGAAATCAGAAATCATTTCACATGGAACTGAACTGAAAGGAGCTAGTTTTGTGGGCAGCAGAGTTTGACAGGACACTGTCAAACAGCTGACTATCCCCTAAGTCTGTTGTTGTTGTTACATGCTGTTGGGTCAGTTCCCACTCATGGCTTCCCTGTACAAGCTGTTTGAGGCATGACAGCTTAATGGGAGCAGAAAGCTTCATTAGAGGCACCATAAGATCAGCACTGGACTGCTGACCACAAATGCAGCCGTTCCCACCCGCCTGCCAGCTGCTCCTCAGAAACCCTACACAGGCCCACTCTGAGTGGGAACCGACTCACGGCCATCAGCAACAAGGGGGGAACGTCTGCATGCTTTACAGCCGCATTAAGGGCCCTACTCATATTTCAGATATCATGTTTTAGAGTGTTTGGATTAGAAAAACTTTTGATAAACGTAAAGTTACATATTTTTCTATTAAGACAAAGAGCAGATTGTGTTTTTTTTGTTTCTGAAGGATAGAAATTTTCTGTGGTGCCAATGCTGTTGGATTTTTCCCACCTTTAATCCATTAGGATTTACACTTGCATATAGCATGTTGCCTGAAATGTTAATCCTTCCTTCTTTTCTATATAAATAAACACCTGGTAGCGTAGTGGTTATGAATTGGACTGCTAATCTCAAGGTCGACAGTTCAAAACAGCTGTTCTGCGAGAGAAAGATGCAGCTTTCTGCTCCCGTAAAGATTTGTAGCCTCGGAAACCCTGTACAGGGTTCCTGTGAGTGGGCACCGACTCCATGGTACTTAACAACAACAGGTTCATTTTGGTGTCCTGGTGTGGCTCTGTGGGTTAATGTGCTGGACTGCAAAGTCCCTTTGAACTCAAGTTCAGTGGTTCAGGCCCATCAGCTGCTCCTCTGAACCCCTATACAGGATCGCTATGGGTCGGAACACCAACTGGTAGCACTTAACAACAACAGGGCTCATATCAGGGAGAGTGGTGGCTCCATATGACACGCACCAGACTGTGAACCTCAAGGTCCATGGTTCAAGCCTACCAGCCACTCACTCCGCAGGAAAAAGTTGAGGCTTTCTGCTTCCGCAAACATTTACATTCTAAACCAGGGTCACTGAGTTGAAACCAGTTCACTTCAGGCATTCTACAGCTCATCCGTATTTAGTCATAACACCCTCTGTAAAGGCTCCATTACAGTTAAAGAGCTGTAATACATTTCTTAGGGTGATGGGTTCACGACTGATAGCTATGAACTGTATTGTTTCTCAGTTACCCCACTAGTCCACACTGCCCCCCTCTCTCCCCACCCTTTCTGCCTTCGTTGCCTCTCTGGTTATGAGGTATCGTAACTGCAGCCAGTCAACATGGAGAACAAGGAGAGTTTGGATGTAGATAGGAAAAACAGGTTTGAAAAGCCAAATCACCATGTTGAGCGTGAAGAATACTAAACACCCATGTTAAACAAATTACTCTTGGATTTATATTTAGGAGCTAGGTTTTTAACTTTCAGCAAGAAATGTGTATGTGATTAATTAAAATCATTGGCCAAGAAGAGATGTTACATCTTTAACTCTGTGTTTCATTTCAGTTACGATACCAGAAGTGCTTGGTAGCCAGGCCGCCCTCACAGAAAGTTCGACCACCTCCTCCGCCAGCAGACTCCATGACCAGAAGAGTCACAACCAATGTAAAACGAGGGGTCTTATCCCTCATTGACACTTTGAAACAGAAACGTCCTGTCACAGAAACGCCGTAGGATTCTGAAGATGCAATAGCTACACTAAAGAAAGACAAACCAACTGGTGTCTGGCCTTCCATTCAGTTGCTGATGCTTGGTCTTCAGAGAATTTATCCTTAACAGCCACAGTGTTAGACTAGCATGGTTTCTCGTCTTGCCACCATCATGTGATAATGAAAAGCATGAAGACGTTTGTTTGGTTTTGTTTTTTATTTTTGCTGTCAGTAAGTTACATCTGGAGCAGTGGAAGGTTTTTTTCTCACTGTAAATATTGTGAACACTGCACCACGTCACACCCAGAGCAGCACGAGGCCACAGCCCTCCCAGGGAGCTCCCGCTGAGTCCTCACGCTGCCTTCTTGAGCGGGACCGGCACAAGCAACCTTCACATCCAGCAGCATTTTGCCATGTTTTCAACATTGGAGTAGACACTGCACATCAGATACCAATGAATTGCTTTAAAATCAGGATGACAAGGTTTTGTTTTGTTGTGTTTTGTTTCATAAGCGTGAACCCATTGGTTGACAGAATTAGCTGACATCCACCTAGAAAACCAACGGCAGCTTTCCTTGATGAGTGAGCTCTTTGACAAACTGGACACCATTTTCATGTCTACAGCAGTTCGTAAAATGTTGGGGTGAAGGGGAACGAAACTTGAAAATTGAGGGAAAATGTTCTGAATTTGAGGAATTAAAATCAGAAAATAGCCTTTTTTAGGGTAAGCAAATAGCCTTTCTTACCAGATGGTTTTCAAACTGATGGGTTTTTGTTTTTGTTTTTGTTTTTTTTTAAGAAATTAGCAAAAGCATAATGCATTTCAGGTTGTATGTATTTCAACTTCTGCCTTATATTGTACAATGCAGCTAGAGAATCATACTTCATTAGGGTCATTCTCTACATAATCAACATGAAAATGACACCCTTCTTGGGACCCTTTCATCCTTAGTTTGAGAATTAGCCGTTATGCAGTTTGGAGTTGAGGAAATGCCCCTCATATTCCGTCCTACATGGTGATTTTGAGCTACCCACCACTGCGCTCGTCCCCAGACCACCTCCCGCTCTGCTAGGATTCTGCACTAGTTCAATCTGAATACAGCGCATTTTGCCCAGAAAGCTGTCTGTGTATCATGTAGTCCATGGCAACAAACCATTAAGTTGAAACTTTCTTGAATTTACTTAATATTAGAATTTGTTAGACTCTATTAGGTGTATTTTAAATTTTATATCCTTTCCATTTTATTTTCAAGATTTTAAAATTTCATATCTCAGAGCAAACTATACCTAGGAACAATGGATTCTAACACGTTTCCCCAAAGCACCGCTTCTCCTGCTTCTTTCTTTGTAAATGAAGAACTTTATCTTTAGACTCCGTGTTGACCTATTGTTTTAAAAGAAAGTTGCTGAGGAGATCCACTTAAATAGTAGTCTTCTTGTTCTCTTTTTAATGTCAAAGTTAATGTTTTGAACTATCCAGTTATAAAAGTCATGCTTTGCGTTGACGCACTGCTGTGTACTTGTCAAAACGATCTCCACATTGTTAACACATTTGAGCCTTATAATACAGCGAAGGGATTAGATGCAGTTGAGAAATGAAAACAGGATGTAGCACAAGGGTAAGTCCATTAGCCCAAGAGCTCGGAAAGTGAGAGCCGTGAGCAGGACCCACGTCCCTCAATTCCCAGTTCTTAGTATGATAGGTTACTTCCACATCAGGCCACAAGAGCGTTTCCAAAATGACTCTGGGTAGACACACAGAAGAGTAGGTATGGAGATATTCATTATCAGGCAATCTTACAAGTCCCTTTGTAAGTGTGGAAATAGGTCCAAATTATCTAGGCAGTGGCATTATCAATCATTGTCGGCTCTGCGTCCTGAGAGCCTCAGCGTGTTTTAGAGGACTGGATTCTGCAGGCAATACAGCCGGTTCAACCTATGAGATTTTTCAAGAGGTGCTGTGGCTTAGGATAGAAATGTTAACTACCCATGCCAGAGAACATGATGGAATGAAAAAATGTGTGCCTGCCTGCTCTCCCCACCTCCCCCCCAACACACACACAATTCCTTTTGGGGAGAGAAGTATGCCCCATCCATAGGGTCTCCAGTGGCTGATTTTTCAGAAGGTCTTTTCTCCAAAGAACCTCTACGTGAACTTGAACCTCCAAGTCTTTTGGTTAACTGCCAAATACGTTGACCATTTACACCACCCCAGAATTGAATTATGGTAAAATGCCACTTTATAAATGTGTTACAATTCTCAATACGTGTGACATCGGCCCACGTGCCTGTAAAAGGCCCTGGAATCATTTGGTCTGGCCCTGATAAAGCAACTGCACTTTCAGCCATCACATTGTTGTCATTGACTGCCATGAACTCCATTCCAACTCATAGCGACCCTGTGTAAGGCTTCCAAGGAGCAGCTGGTGAATTTGAACTGCTGACCTTGTGGTTCAAACAAACCTTGTAGTCCAGTGCATTATTCCACAGCGCCACACCAGGACTCCAGCCATCACATTAGGGGTCAGTTAATTAAAGGTTTGACCACATATAGCAGGCCAAGTTTTAAGTTGATAATTATGTATGGCCTGTGCGTGATGTTAAAATTTGGGCAGGAAAACTGTTCCCCACCCCTTATGTTGTTGACTCAGCTGTATGTGAACTAGCCAATGCCAGCCAGCATCGACCTTCACCTGTTCCAGACTCGGTTGTGTTGATCTCTCATGTTGATGTGAAAAGTTGTAGTAGTGTGACAACCTTCAAAATGCTGAACAAAGAATCCACTTTTATATTGGATATCTCTACCGCTGTTCACTTTTTAAGGCATACGTTTGTTTTCAGGATCAAGAATACTGAGCTAGCTTTAAGTAGCAAACTGATTTATATATGCAATTCTAGGACGCATTAAAGATGAACGATAGCCTTTACATGTGGAAGACTTTACTGCAGGTGTTTTGTTTTTAAAATAGCTTTGCATACTAAGTGCAAATTTTGTAAAATTAGTTCTGTTAGACAATATGTTCAGACACTTTCTGCCATGGCCAAAAAGTATGTATGAAAGTCTGTGTGCATTTGTTTGTGAAAGGGTGCCCATGTTTTACCCGATAGTGACTCTTCAGTTATCTATGCATTCTTTAGATCTGTGATTTGGCAGGCAGCCATGTTCACCATGCCTTGTGTGTCTTATCTTTTTTTTTCCTTTTAATTAACCTGTTAAATACAGCTTAAAATACGTTTATTTATTCTATTTTTACTGAAATACACTGCATTATTGTGTTAATGTATTACCTTTACTGGATTCCACCTTACAGTGTATCCAGGCCTAAGTAATCTCAGTGAACTCTCGGTTACCTAAGAGTTGGTTTTGTAATGATTTCTAATCACATTTTTATTGTAATTTGTAGAAGAAGAAAAGGCAAAATGTTTAGAGTCCCTTTTATTTTTGAAAAGCAGCTAGATAGATGCAGACTTGCCACCTCGTGTCCGCGTATCCCAGCAGCCTCCAGGGGACTAGTCCGCACACCTATGGCTCCGACTTCACTTTGCAGACAAAAGCACTGCCTGGTGCTTCATTTTCATATCCTTCACAACACTTGTGACTTCACCTAAAGGAGATACACGTGTCCACGTGCCCTTGGTTTCCACCTGGGCGTAAGATCCCCCATAGCTGATCAGGAACACTGTTTTATTTGTCTGTCTTAATGCATGAAGGGACATTCGATCCATTTCCATTAAAATAAGTTCTTGGTGATAAACTGTTGGCGCTGATACTTTATTTAAAATTCACTTCATGATTTTTAAGATGGCCACTTATAATACTCTCCTGCACAAGCTCATTTAGTAAAGTCGACCCACTGCCACAGAGTCGAGTCCAAGTGTAGCTGCCCAACAGGACAGCTGGACTGCCCACAGGGCTAACAAGGCTGTGCTCTTTAGGAAAGCAGACTGACATAGCTTTCTTCCATGAAGCAACTCGTAGGTTTGCACCACAGTCTATCACTTAACCCACTGTGCCACCAGGCTTCTTGGTCATGGACTAGAAACTCTTAAGTCTGCCTTTCCTCCATGATGCTAGTTTCATAAGCAACCTTTCCCTAGCTGACCGTGGCACAATGCAGTAAAACCACTAATCTGGCTTTGCCAGGTTTAGCCTAATCTGTGCCTGGCATGCATTACAGTCACTGAGACAGAGTTGGCTTATTTCAGCTTAGGGAGAGTTTCTGGCTCACACTGGACCAATTAGAGCACTCAGCCGCCCAGAGCAGGTGTGTAGCTTCAAAACAAAACAAAACCGATTTGCTTTCCTTTTGGCCCCTTTTGCACTGACCACTTGAACACATTTTGATGTAATCTGTTGTGAGAATAAATTTAGCTGCATAAAATGTTTGGCTTATTTCTCGGACATACCAGTCAATGCATGCAGAGCACAGAAATATGAAGGAATTGAATGTTTCTATGCCAGCCATTTAATTTTCAGATTATACCTACCTCAAATTAAACTTTAGAAATCATGCTAGTAATGTAAAATTCAGCTTTTGAGTAGTTATTGCTTGATTTTCTAGCTGGTTAGCACTAGAGAGTATATGACTTTTGAGTAGGCCATCACACCGTCCTGATTTGGGCATGAGGAAGGGCACCTGGCTGCCCAGGTGCAAATCAGCTCCCAGGTTTGAAGCAGGACTGCCTTCAACCCTGACTTCAATTATATCCTAAATGAGATACAACTAGAAAAACTAATGAGTTGACTCATTGAAACAGACAGGAAGATCAATTTGAATTGAAAGGATGTAGCCATATTTTGTTCATCTGGTATTTCCACAGTTATTTACCTCTTTTTACTCTATCAAGGCAATAACTCTGAAGCAAAAAAAGTGAACAAAATTTCATTGTGGTTTCATGTATTAAGTATCGTGGCAGATAATTTCAGATTAAAATTTGCTGTTGGAGAGTCTAAATACTAAGGATTCCATTAATGTGCATTTTTGCAGCAGTTTTCTCTGAGGAACTCAAGTAAAATGCTAAACAAAAAAAAATCTCAATCACTGTTCTCCTTCACTAAAGACAGCATTGCTTTTATCCAGAGCATTTTTCCCTTTGTTCTCTATCAAGCTATTTAAATAATTGATTGTGTCCTTACAAGATTCTCCAGAAACTGCAGGCTTAATTAAGAAATGGATTGATTTGGAATCTCCCATAAGTGTCTAAAGGGAGCAACACACCAAGACACACAGAATACTAAAAACAAGACACACAGGACACTACAAACAAGTGGCTGTAACTTGTCACATGACAGCAGTCCTGCTGCTAGAGAGATTGGAAAATACCCTGAACTGTTTCACAACAATGAGCATTT